TTGTGTCCCCCCCCCCCCCTCCCTGCAGTCTGTGGGAGCAGGAATGCCTCCATGTTCCCCACAGAGCTGCCACAGAGAACTGTTCCAGATGTTACTGAAACCAGCCCAGGCCTGCACCGGTGTGAAGTGGGAGAGGCTCGGGGGGCCGGGGTTGCTCTTTGTGGAGGACCACTTACAACCATGGACTCATGGATCAGCATCAGAGCTACAGTATGAGCTTCTGTCTGCACCATGTCAACTCCAGGTGCCCCCCTTTTATCTGCCGAGTGGTGTGTTTAGTCCCAGTGCCCCCTCCAGGCGAGTGCTAATCACAGGATCCATAACCTCTCCGTCGCTACAGCCCTGAGACCAGCTGGTTGTGTGTGTGTCTTAACACAGAAGCGATGTACTAACCCTGGGTACAGACTAAAGTTAGAGCTGATGGAGGTTGTTAGAGAGAGCGAGTGAGGAAGAGCGGGGCGTCTGATGGCGTGTTTGAGGTCGAAGACAGATGATTGTAGAGCGAGTTTCTGAATGTGAGGAAGGAAGAGGAGGATGGGGGGAGGTGGAGGGAAGAAGGAATGCACATAGAAAATGTTTATAGGATTAGGAAAGCAGGGCTGTGACAGAGTGGGGTGGTAGGGGGGTTTGAGGGGGCACGAGGCATGTGACCAGAGGTATTTTAAAAGCCATATAGGTGCCTGATTCAGAGGCTGCACTGTGACAAGACGCATCAAACTCAGGCAAAGGGGGGGGGGGCCCTCGAGCCACACACATATGTAAACTATCTGTGTTTCCTGCTCTGTTCTGTAATTCTCTCAGGAGCCTTCCAAAGTTGTACTTCATTCTGTTTTGTTTTTTTCTCACGTGTTGCTTTTCTAATTTCTTAACCCTCATAACGATTGGAGATATTCGGAAACCCCTCTCACAGACACAGAAAGTCTTTGTGGATAAGATTTCAGAGAGAAAGCTCCATAGCATGAGTTAGTGAGTGGTGGGTGGTGATGGGGGGGGGGCTGTAACAAGAGTTTGTGCTGCAGAGAGAAACTCTAAACCTGGAAGTAAAGCCTGTTATTTAGGCGCAACGGGATGCGAGAGACCGCACTCGGTGATTGTAAAGGCCTCCAAATTAGACCTCATTTCAGAAGATATTTATTCTGTTCTCTCTCTTTTTTTTAATTTATTTTCCAATTCAGCACTCTTACGTGACCTTTGTAGTGTTATTGGTCCACAGAAAGGTCAGAGGATTTGAAGTGAAGTTTCTGAAAGCTAGTCAACACATTAAGTGTTTTTGATTCTTTTTCCAAGAACATTAAACAGTTACTTGGCAGAACTGATAACTGCCAGGGTAAAGCTATAACGATGCCATTTTTAGATGGTTTAACTACAGTATGTCAGGTTTTTCTGACATGGAAGTCGTCCGAGCCGCAATGTAAAGGGTTCATATGAAGTGTAGCGTAGCAGCAGGGTTAATGTAGTCCAGCTTTATGTCCTCAGAGTCATTGTCACATCAGCCAACTTGTTAACAAATAAACCAAACATTCACATCGATTCCAACCCTCATTACAGAAGCAAAATAAGATAAAAGCCCAGATGGAGGTCTTTTAGGGAGGAAGTGGTTAAAGTGTGTCACACGTCACTGTCGGTTTCATGCTCACTAACTGAGATTCACTGTGAGTCACGAGGACTTCGGTGTGGAGGCCCCGAAGGCCCCGCAGTTTGCCCGCTGCTCTGCTGGTGTTGGCACAGCAGACGGGGGCCGCTGGCCTCGAACCCCGGGAGGGTGGCGATGCGAGTTGGCATTCCTCGCGCATGCCCGTCCTACAAGCGCCACTGAGCCTTGCCTTTGTGCGTGTGTGTTTGTGTGCCACCATCATTCCTCCCATTCTGACCTGACATGACCCACACACACACACACACAAGCCGGTTTTGCGCTTGCGATAGCGGAGGGCTCAAGTATTTTCCTCTGTTGAAAAAAGAAAAGGATACGCTGAAAGCGAGACGTTTATCCGACCCTAAGCCAAATCGCGGGTCTTTTTAGGGAGGAAGTTGTTGGTTAATTTAGTTGTGGAGAGTTCCAACACAGTCACAAGATTCTGAGCGTTCAGGGCTGGGAGTGTCGTCATTTGGAATGCGATACACAAATAGGGAGCGAGTGGTGCGGCGTGGTGAAGTCAACGAGGAACGTGGGGGGGGGGGGGGAGGAAGAAGAAGTTGGGTCAGCTCTGGACTTATTTCAGATTGTATATCGGTGTGGAGCCCCGAAAGGCCGCGGAGATCTTCGGACACGTCTTCCGCTTTCGGGTCGTTTGCTTTGGTTTGTACTGGGTCCGCCACTTCCCATTTGGCACGCAGCAATGGACGGGATCGGAGAGCAAGCCCGGGAGGATGTTGCAGACAGTGCAGAGTTGGCATTGCCTACACGCCGCATATATCTATTTTACAGGGAAAATTGTTGACGGTATTGGTTTACAGGAGGAACGTTTCCTCAGAAATTAAACATAGCTATTCTTTCACTGAAAGTTACATCCAGCCTGTGAATATCATTTCGGTGTGGGATTCGTGTGGTTTGTGTGCACACACACAAACTAGCACAATTTTCCTCCCATCGGTCCTGCCGGATTGACACATAGGTAGTACCCACACGGGACACACCCGTACTTAGACTAGACACACACATCACTACATTGGAGACACTGGAGTGGAGTTATGGGTCTGAGAGAGCGAGGGATGATGGGAGGGGGGGGGGAAAACAAGCAAACAATTGTCTGTTTTCCCACCAGCGACAGAAAAGAGGACACAGCGTGTCTTCCCAACAGTCTTTTGCTTTTTATTCTTTTTTGCTGACAGATCAGTCACCATCTTCTTCACCAGTTGTTCGAACCCATCAGCTGAATCACAAACAATTACACAAACAAACTAGACTCAAGACCGAGATCAGAACCAACACAC